CTAAATGAGTGGAGATGACTTCCACAGTCCGCAAAAGAAGCTGGGAAGTATAGTTAGTCCTTCAGCAGGAAACTAACAAATAGGATAAAGGAAAATAGCACCTAATCATCTCAACACCAAATTATAATAGGAACAACAAATTAGAACTAGGAATATAGCATGCTGAGTGTCTACAAAAAACAGCTGACATCATATTTCATGATGGAAAGACAAAGCTTTCTCCCTAAGGTCAGGGACAAGGAAAAGAACTATTTTTACTTGTATTCAACAGCATGCTACAAGTTGTCACACTCCGGCTACAGATATGCAGAGACTTATTGACCAATCAGAACTGCAGTACTGTGGAGAGATTGGAATTCTGCAGACCCACTGTCTCAGGGTTTCTATTGCTGTAAAGACACATGGCAACTCTTATAAAAGAAAACATTTTATTGAAGTGGCGGTTTTTAGTTCAGAGGTTCAGTCCATTATCAGGACAGTTCATCAGGTTCAGTCCATGATGGCGGGGAGCATGGCAGCATGCAGGCAGACATGGTGCTGGCAATACCTTGATCAGGACAACAAGAAGTGACTGTCTTACTGGGAGTAGCTTGAGCATAGGAGGCCTCAAAGCCTATCCCCAACAGTGACACACTTCCTCCAACAAGGCCACACCTACAAAGCCACACCTCTTAATAGTGCCACTCCCTTTGGGGGCAATTTTCTTTCAAACATCACACATACCTAACATTGGACTAGTTTCAAGCCCTCTGGAACAATTATTCCTTGCCCACCTCTGTCTAAACTGAAATCTTAACTTAGCAGACAACTGGCTTCTATCAACCCAAAAGCTAAGAATAGTATCAGATTGCTTCTTGAGTCTATAGGAAAAGCTTTCCACATCTTGCTGTAACCACCTCTGATGTATCCACCAATTTTTTTTTTCTTTTTTGGTTTTTCGAGACAGGGTTTCTCTGTGTAAGTTTTGGTGCCTATCCTGTATCTCACTCTGTAGACCAGGCTGGCCTCAAACTCACAGAGATCCATCTCCTGGCTCTGCTTCCCAAGTGCTGGGATTAAAGGGGTGGGCCACCACTGCCCGGCTCCACCAATGTATTTTAAACTTGCCTTGATTTTTAACTTTTCTTTGTTCTGAAAAAGTATAAAACTTTTATGAAACTGCTTCCACATTGGAACATGGAATTTAGGATAAATTAAATATGTTCTTAAGCCATAGTCACTAAAATGGCTCCAGAATAAATTATATCTTATACCCTTTAAGATGAAAACTGTGGTTTTTGCATCAACACTTTTGTTTGTTTGTTTGTTTTGAGACCGGGTTTCTCTGTGTATAGCTCCTGGCTGTCCTGGAACTCACTCTGTAGACAGGCTGGCCTCAAACTCACAGAGATCTGCCTACCTCTGCCTCCAGAGTGCTGGGATTAAAGGCGTGCACCACTACTACTCAGCTCTGCATCAACATTTTATATATAGAAAATCCTATGGAAGCCTGATGGCACATGCCTCCTATTCCATCATTCAGGCAGCTGATGTCAGATGATTGCCAGTGGGCCAACATGGATTACGTAGACCCTAACATACACAGAAACAAAAAACCGAAGGTGCAGATATGTTGTCTCAGCACTTGACTAAAGTACACTAGGCCCAGGATGTGATGGCTAGAAACACAAACAATCTTTTCAAAAACAATGGTACTAGACATGGTGATATAGGCCTTGTAATCCTAACACTTGGGAGGTGGAGACAGGAAAAGAAATTTAAGGTCAACCTCAGTTACACAGCAAGTTAGAGGAGTATTTTCACCCTGGAGGTGGACCTATGTTATTTTCTACCCACTCCTAAGGTTCTGATGACAAATGATTCACTCTGGGAACCAATGAGTTCATAAGACTTATTCACAGTGCATGGATGACCCTAAAGCACGAAGTCTGCCCTTTCCCCACGTGCTTCACCTGGATAATGGCTCCCACGCAGCTACACAGATAGAGCCCTGTCCCCCAGTCTTTTCCAACCTACAGGCTAGCCCTTCCCCAGGATCCTGGGGCCATCTGCAATTGGGACAAAACTGCTTACAACTAGTTGGGAGAGGTGGCTGGATACTCAGGTGAGGATCTGATGACCCTCCCCTTCCTGCCCACTTGTATGGACCTCCAATAGCAACAAGGTCAGCTATGATGAGCTTTTCCAGGTAGGCACATCTGAATTCATGAAAATGGCAGCTGTTTGGCTCTATTGATAGTGATGATCAACAGAGGCCAACCAGGGCTGTCTCAAAAACCAAACAAACAAAAACCCACTAGAGCGAATAAACCAACGAATTTGGAGGATAAGAAATCAGTACAAAAATATAGTCACTGTATTTGTAAATACTAGCACCAAATAAGTTGAAAGAGATCCTCAAGAAAGAATTCCATTTACAGTTGCATTCTAAAGACTAAAATACTGAGTAATTTAATAGCAAAAATCACATGCTGAAAATTATATTGCCAAAAAAAATCAAAAGTTAGCTCCAAATTAATGGAAATAATTAATGGATTAGAAAACAATATTATTAAAATGACAATGGTTATTCTCCATAACCTTGGTTCTGGTGATTCTTTTCTGTGATTTGACACCATTTTGAGGTACCTGAAGAGAAAAACTGCCAAGATGTTTGAATGTCATATGGAGTCTTTAAGCAACACCAGCAAGGCTATTGCAGGCAGAGTATTGGGAAGCAGCCTTGACCTTCAGTTTGTTCAACTTTTAAAAGGCAAGGACGACAATTTTGACATATACAGAAAGGCAGCTGTGGACATTGCAGCAAGCAAGCATTGTTTACAGAAGTGGAAAAATAGCAGTTAAGTGTTCAGGCAGTTCTCACAATCTTTAGGTCACATCGTATAGGAATTTATGGCTGGTCTAAGTGACCAGAGACTAGGGATACTTTCACAAGATGGCATAACTATAGTTCAGTAGCCTTCTACAACAGACAAAAGGCCAAGTATCGAGGAAAAGATGAATGGGAAGACAGCCTGCAGAAGAGGAAACATCCCCTAAGAGTTATATCCAAAATATAAAAAGAATTACAAGACAACCAGATAGTCCAGGTAGAAGTTAGGAAAACAGGGACTGGAGAGATGGTTCAGAGGTTAAGAGCACTTGCTGCTCTTGCTGAGGAACCACATGGTGGCTTAAGGCTGCCTCTAACTCCAGTTCTGGGGATCTGACGCCCTCTTCTGGCTTCTACAGGCACCAGACATTCACAGACATAAAAGAGAAATAAATCATTAAAAAAATTAGGCAAAATTGTACATTTTTTTTTTCGAGACAGGGTTTCTCTGTGTAGCTTTGCGCCTTTCCTGGGACACACTTGGTAGCCCAGGCTGGCCTCGAACTCACAGAGATCCACCTGGCTCTGCCTCCCGAGTGCTGGGATTAAAGGCGTGCGCCACCACCGCCCGACATAATTGTACATTTTTTAAAGTGATAAATGTATAGAGTGAGGGCATGACCTCTTCAAGGTATGGTTGAGGGTAAGGTCTTTATTGTAGATATGAGGGAAACTACAGCAGGAAGCATCATGAAGAGTCCAGAGCAGGAAGACAAAGTAGTAGACTAAACATGGCCAGCAGAATGGACCCAGCCATGGCAGGGTGGAGCAAGAGAGAACAACAGAGTGGGGGCCAAGAAAGAGGACCAAGAGCCAGGATGACACATGGCTAAAATGGCATGGTTATATAAGAATCAGAAGCTGTGGGGAGGGAAGCCTGTAAACTGGAGAATTTTAGGTAAGGGGGATAGAATGAAATGAGTTAGGAAGCCAGGATGCCAGCAAGGACTCTGTAACAGGTACTTGTGATGCAAACAGAGCATAGAGGTATGCTAATAGGTACACAGTTAGCCATTTGTTCTAAGTTTCTTTTGGACCTGACAATAAAATTATGAAAAATTTGGAAACTGCCTAGTAGTCATAATTGTACAAACATGCCACATCTTGCTCTGGTCTCCCCATACATGAACCATAAAAACCTATTATCTTGGTATAGAGAGAACTGTATTAGGTGGTAGATTTCAATTAATAATAATTAATTTTGGAATGGGGTTGTAATTGAGAATAGTATGAATTGGTAGTAAATGGTTTAACTGAGCACAGACCTAGTTTCTCATGTGCCAATGAGACAATTCTTGTCCTTTCTTTATTAGCTCACAAGAATATTGAAGGGAAAGGTAAAAAAAAGAAAACAATGGAAAGCACGTATTGTGGATAAAACATGCTACTGAACTCTTTCATTTCAATGGAAACTGTAATTGGTGACTGTGTCACCGTGGGAAACTATATTTGCTCATTAGAGAAGCCCTAAAGTGTGGAAGCACACATTAGTTACTATAGTTACTACTCTCATAACATGGTCTTCTTTCATGCTTAGTGACATGTGTTTAATTAATAACACGATATGTGTTTTAATTAATTTATTCATTGGAAAGAAGACATTTTGAGGCTTAATGTCTGTAATAGTCATTGGCTCTTGATTTATTAAAATCTTTCACACAGGAACAAAGTAAACAACCCCAAACTATATATATATATATATATATATATATGTATGTATATATATGCGTATGTATGTATATGTATATATGTCAGTTTTCTACCCTGGCTTTTTATTAGTCACAATTCTCAAGGCCGTCATCTTCTAAATAGGTTTCCTTCAGCAGCTGAGATGGTTCGAACAGCGGTGGCCAGAGCGGAACCTCGGTGCTCGCTCAAGCGCTTCAAAGCGGACAGCCACGCCTACTCCGATCCCTTCGGACGCCGTGCTGGCGGGGTTCCGTTGGAACCGGTTGCTGTCTGTCGCCAAGAGCCGGGCTCCCGCCGGCGTGAAAGCCCGTGCAAGTCCCATCCCAACTCTCCAGCAATGCGAGTTGAGGTAGGACCAGAAGTTCCAGACTTCCGCGGCCGGGAGCAGGTCAAGAGAGAGGACAGCGGGCCTCCGCGATCGATTGGTAGCGCCTGCGCGGCGCGTGCAGCGCTCGACTGGCGCGGCCTAGGGGGCGGAGCGTTTGTCGCCGCCGCCGCCGCCGCGGGCCGGGTCCGTGAGGAAGGCCTAGGCCGTCTGCTTCACGGCTTGCCGAGCGTCTGCGCAGCTTCTCCCGCTTCCCGTCCGCTGCGGCCGGGCGAGCGGAGGCCTTCCGGAGCCATGGAGGACGAGGTGGTTCGCATTGCCAAGAAGATGGACAAGATGGTGCAGAAGAAGAACGCGGTGAGCGGGCGGGCCCCGGGCAGGCCGCGGCCGAGACCGCGGACACCAGCCCACGCGGAGCCAGTCAGGGCCGGGCCGCGCCGCGCGCCCCCCCGGCTTACACGTCGGTGCTGGCAACGTCCGCAGTGAGCCCAGGCTGGAACCCTCACCGTTTGAGAGACTGTGCGGCTGCCGCCGCCGGTTATCTTAGAACGGCTTCACTGGGTGCCGCGGTCCGTTTACGGGCGGTAAAGTGCCGCAGACCCGCATCGTTACTAGAAACATTAAATCCGCCGTCTCTTAGCCAGTAGGCCTGGGTGAGATATGAGGACCAGCCATGGTTAAAAACCACACTCCCCAGCGGGCTGCTGGTGGGTGGGTATGGTGCTAAGGTAGTGGCGGGCCGGTGACATCGTCTGTGTTTTTGAGTCTACCTGTGTGTGCCTCTTTCCACCCCTTTGCTTCACACTTACCTCTCCTCGGCCAACTTCACCTGAATTTGTTGTCCCGTACTCCGCACATTTTTATTACCAAAGTACTAGAAGTAATTTGTTCCCACTTATTAAATTAAAGCCGTAAAAGGTGCTTACGTTTGTTCAGCTCTTTAGTTACAAACCTCTGCAGAATTCTTTTGTAAGTAGGACACAGTTGAGAGTGCATGGTATATACATTTTTAAGTCAAGAGATTGAGTCAAATTACTTCTGCTTAAGTACTGTGTAGTTTTGGTTGAGCCAGGAGCTAGCTAATTTTCACTTACTGCAAGCATAGGAATTAAGAGTAACTACCAAATAACTAAAACTTTAGACATCCCCTGTTCCTCTTTTTCTTAAGCAGGTGCGTTGCCCAGCATTTAATTTCATGCCCTGTTAATCTGCATTTGCAATTTTGGTCTTTTCAAATATTTCCTGTTTGTTTTCTGTTCCAGATTTTAGCCTGTGTCGTTTATCGTCCTTACTTATTGAGCCATTTCATTCCTTGCTGCAAGAGATGAGTTTTGGTTATATGATAGGTTGAACATTTCTTTTCTTTTTTTTTTTTTTTTTTTTTGTATTAAATTGGGAAGCTTTTCTCTCTGCCTGGAGGTCCCCAGTTTGCCACACTAGAAGCTCTGGGGGCGGGGGATTATTAACTGGGTTATTTCTTTTCCTTAATCCATCAGAACAAACTTCAAGTAATTCTCGAGTCTGTTTTCTGACAGTGCACAACCTTAACCAGTATGAAAATTTGCCTTTAAAAAGAAAAATAAATCTGGTTCTTTTTAGGTTTTTCGAGACAGGGTTTCTCTGTATAACAGGCCTGGCTGTCCTGGATCTCACTCTGTAGACCAGGCTGACTTCGAACTCACAGAGCTAGGCCTGCCCCTGCTTCCCAAGTGCTGGGATTAAAGGCAGCATAAATCGGGTTCTTTTAATCGATTTTTCTTTCATTTTCCTGTCCTCCGAAATTCAAGCAGGCTGATGAAATAAAGAGAAAAGTCAGAATGACAACTCTCTCCATGAATTCTAAAATTTAAAAACATTAACATTTGTGCATATGCACAGGTGCACAGGTTAGAGGACAACTTGAGGATTTCTGTCAGTAGCCCTGGCTGCCCTGGAACTCAGATCCCTCTGCCTCCCGGGTGCCAGGATTAAAGGAATGTTCCTGGTGCTGAACTCACTAAACTTGAGATCAAGTGGCTTTACCGTTATTCATTTCCTTGGCATCCTACCCCCCCCCCCTTTTTTTTATATACTGGGTGTCATAGTGTAGTCCTGGCTGACATCAGGACCTTACTATGTAGACCAGGCTGACCTCAAACGCCTAGAGATTGTCTGCCTCAGCCTCCTGAATGCTGGGATTAAAGTTCTGGGCCATAACCCAATCCTGGTTTTTTTGGTTTGTTTGTGTGTGTGTGTTTTGTTTTGTTTTGAAGATGGGGTCTTGCTATGTAGCCCAAACTGACCTGGAACCCCTAGCTAGGCTCATGTGATTGTCCTGACTCAGTCTCCTCATAAATGAGATTACAGGCATGAACTGTGATAGGAGCTACTTTTATTTTAGATCATAAAAATGGAAACTGCTTGAAGCATGATAGTTGTAACTAATAGACAAATCTAAGTACTGCTTTTTTTTCATATCACTTCATTTTAATGAAGCTATAGAGTAGATGTCACTTAATTACAAACAGCTACCAATTATTGAGCTGGTACTCTCAGCCACATATTCCTCTAAATCCAGTAATTATCAATTGTACCTCTTTTTATTACTCAGATAGTTTTGCTAGGTTAGTAGACCCATTCTATAAAGGAGAATTTGGAAATGTAAAACACCCTTGGAACCACTATATACATTGTGTCTTTGCTGCTTCTGGAAATTCCGTATCAATAAAATCTTATAGTATTTGACATCTTTTAAATAGCTTCTTTCACTTACTGTAATGTCCTGTGTTTTGTTTTGAGACAGGGTTTCACTGTGTTGTCTGGACTAGTTAAGAACGCTCTGATTTTTTTTTTTTTTTTTTTTTTTTTTTTTTTAGTATCTTGAGTAGCTGGCTGGGACCCTGGATACACGCTATCATGCTCAGCTTACTATATTTGTTTTAAAATCCAATCTGTATCATATCTTGTTAATATTTCATTTTTTTTCTATTATAGAACAGTATTTCATTGTACTGGCATGTATATCACATTTGGGTTCATCTTTTCATGTACATCTAGGCTGTTTCCACTTTGGCTATAAAACTAATGTTAAGATATACTTGCCGGGCAGTGGTGGCGCACGCCTTTAATCCCAGCACTCGGGAGGCAGAGGCAGGTGGATCTCTGTGAGTTCAAGGCCAGCCTGGGCTACCAAGTGAGTTCCAGGAAAGGCGCAAAGCTGCACAGAGAAACCCTGTCTCGAAAAAAAACAAACAAACAAAAAAGATATACTTATGTCTGTTTGTTTTAGCACGTTTTCATTTTTGTTAAGTATATATGTAGGAGTAGAAATACTGAGCCATACAGTGTCTGTGTGACACTTCTTTTTAATCCTAGGTCTGGACTCCTAGGCAAACACTGTACCATTAAGCTATACCCCAAACTTACTTAACCATTTGAGAAACTGTCAAAAAAAAAATTAATTCTTTTTTTCCCCCCCACAAAGTGGCTCATACCATTTTACATTGCCATCAGTAGTACTTGACTGTTTTGATCTCACCATATTGTTCCAATACTTGTTGATGTTTATCCTTTGAATTATAGTCTTTAGTGAAATTCTCTGGGCATCTTTTCCATATTTACTGGACGTCTGTGTGTCTGTTTTGAAGGAACATCTATACAAGGCCCACCCCACCCCCACCCCCCAGCTGTCTCTTATGTCGGGTGTTTTCTGTGTTTTAATATTTCACTTGTGTACTTGACCATTTCATCTACCTCTTAGAAGCTATGTTATTCTCTTCAATATGTGAGAAGCATGAAAAGGATTTTTAAAATTATGGAAACAAGAGTATGGATTTTAATCTGGGTCAGGGGGAAATATAGCACATGTTCTTAACTGTAAGTCCCTTATGCCTCTTCTTTTTGCATGTGGAAAAGAAGGATCTTTGAATCCTCCAGTTTTATATAAATTAGGTTGTCTGCAAGTTTGAATACTGTATTTTGTAAAAGCACTTCTGCTAACAGGAACACTAAAAATGTAATCAAATAGTGTGATAGTTGTAGTTTATTTTTCAGTCAGTACTGTGAACTAAATGTGGCTTTGGAAGTTAGAGTCAGATCTTTCTTCCTCTTGCATCATTATCTATAGACGATGCTGCAATGGGCTTGATGCTAGGAGGGAGATGACTGGGGAGGGATAGAATGCAGCTTTTGTTTGGTAGTGAGTTCAGAAAGCACAACTGTCAGTGGTGGGCCAGAGGAATGGAAGACACAATTGTGCTGGATCACAGACTGTAGAGTTTTGTTGTTTTGATTTAATCCCTGGAGCTGGGTATACAGCTTGCTAGTAGAGTAATAGGTTAGCATGTATGAGGCTCTAGGTTCAATCTCCAACATTAAATAAAATTCTCTGAGATCCTAAGGGATTGCTGTCTTGTTTACTGCTATGTGCTCACACAGAATGGAGCTTATTATATGGCATTAAGAGTATCTGTTGAAGGGCTGAAGAGATGGCTTACCTGTTTAGAGAACTTACTGCTCTTGCAGAAGACCTGGGTTTAGTTCCCAGCACCCACATTAGGGGCTTACAATTAACTGTAACTCCAGTCCCAGAGGATCAGCTTTCTCTTCTGGCCTCTGCAGACAACACACACACATAAATACATGCAGACAAATACTCATACACATAAAATATGAATTTTTGAAATATTTCGCACAATACCTAGTACACAGTAACTCTCAAAGATAAGTTGTCACTTAGCATACAATCATGCTTTTTGCTAGTTTCATTCAGTTCATCTTAGTTTATTTTGTAAAGAACCTTGAATGAAATTCTCATCTTAACTGGTTGGAACACATGGTAGTTGTTGAGAACAAGCGTAGTTGCTGAATCCAATGAGTCACTTATTATTTTCTTCCTATCATAGCCTCAGTCTCCTAAACCTATTCTCACCAGAGGGCTGAGTAGAAACAGAAAGTCAAAGTAAATCTGTTGCTGCTACATGGAAAATGACTTAAATCATGTGTTGTATTACTGATGTGACATGGCATGTGTACCTTAAGAGAGGTGCCGCTTTTTTTTTTTTTTTTTGGTTTTTCGAGACAGGGTTTCTCTGTGTAGCTTTGCGCCTTTTCCTGGAACTCACTTGTTAGCCCAGGCTGGCCTCAAACTCACAGAGATCCGCCTGGCTCTGCCTCCCGAATGCTGGGATTAAAGGCGTGCGCCACCACCGCCCGGCGAGAGGTGCCGCTTTTAAGAACTACCTATAAATTTGAATTTAACTTCTTATTGATTTTTAGTCTGAAATGGATCAGAAAGTCCATGGAGATGTGGCTAGAAGAAAATGCTATCAAAAATAGAGAATACAAATAGATCTGTTAAAAGCCTTTGGACTCTTGAGAATTACAGAATATTTCAGATTGACAAGATATTATGCCTCCTCATGTATTACATGATACCCCTAAAAGGGATTTGGGCAGCGCTTAGCAATCAGACATTAACATTTCTATAGTGAATACTGTACCCTTAACATTAAGTGAGGTTAAAAAAAAGAAAAGACATTAAGTGAGGTATGTAGAACCATTAGCTTTACATCTGTTGAGACTGGCCTTTGCTGCCAAATGAATTTCTTAACTTTTTAGTTTTGAAAGTTTTTGATTTGGAGGGAGGTGAGACATATGCACATAAATGATTAAACCTCATTTGTACTGAAAAAAAGTGCTGTAGAAAGTCTTTAAGATGTATTTATTAATTTATTTTACATATATATGTAATATACACACATACATACATACATACACACACACACACACACACACACACACACACACACACACACACACACACACACACACATATATATATATATATATCCGATCCTGAGTGTATGTATATGCATCACATGCATGCAGGTGCCCATGAAAACCAGAATGTTAGGTGACCTGGAACTGGGTTGCAGGTGATTCTAAGCCGTCTGAATGGGTACTGGGAACCAAACCCGAGTCCTCTGCAAGAGCAGCAAGTGTTCTTAATTGCTGAGCCATCTCTCCAGCCCCTAGAATTTTTTTTTAGCGTTGAACTTTGGACCACTGATCTCTAACAATGTTTCACTGTATTTAGTTCACTCTAAATATGATGTATACAGAATTTTAACATAAAAAGAGATCTATAAGCCACAGATGGTTAAAACACTTTATAATAACCTGTTTCATAATTTTTCTTGTGTTTTCTTTCAAGTTTGTGGTTAAATTAAAATGTTCTATATTGATGTTGTCAGAAGAGATGTTAATACCATTTTATTCTGGAAGGTCAGGTCTGATGTCGAATGGCTTCAAATAATCATGACTGGAAATCTTTTCTTGGTTTTATTTTTTAATAGAATAACAAAAAAAAAGGGCTGGAGAAATGCCCCAGTTAAGAGCCCTAGTTGCCCAGGTTCGATTCCCAGTACCCCAGATAGTGGATAACAACTGGCTATAACTCTAGTCCTAGGGAATCCAACATGCTCTTTTAGCTTCCAAAGGCACTGGGTATGCATGTGGTGCTCAGATGCATAGGCAGCCAAAACACCCATGCACATATAAAAAATACATTAAAATTAAAGAAATACAGCATGAAAGTCTTTGCTTCTTTCTATAGAATGCACTGTGGTGAGGGAATTTTTTTTTTTTTTTTTTTTTTTTTTTTTTTTTGGTTTTTCGAGACAGGGTTTCTCTGTGTAGCTTTGCGCCTTTCCTGGATCTCGCTCTGTAGACCAGGCTGGCCTCGAACTCACAGAGATCCGCCTGCCTCTGCCTCCCGAGTGCTGGGATTAAAGGCGTACGCCACCACCGCCCAGCCTGGTGAGGGATTTTTATTGTTCCCAGGTATGCTGTGTTTTCATTGATTTTTAAGGTGCCTTGTTTTCATATTTTAAGAGTTTGGAAGGCAGCGTGAGTTACATATATAGATGACTCTTGGTAGTGTACTGTGTACTTTCACAGCAGAATGTCAAAACTTGTGGAGAGAGGGCTGGTGAGATGGCCTAACAGCATGAGTTCCATTCCTAAAACCCAAAGTGGGAACAGAGAGCCAACACTTGCATGTCATGTCACCCTCTTACTTTTCCAAGTGCACTGTGGCATGCATGCACCCCCACACATGCACAGTATGAATAATAATGATGTGCAGAGTCAGTATCATAATCTTGGAAGAAAATCAGAGATACCCCGAGGAAGTAAATAGTTATAGAAAGAGTAGATAAAGTATGGTTCTCCATGCTGCAGATCCAGCCTGACGTTAGTTTTCTTATGGATTCTTTCACAGAGTGTTTCATTACATTCATGTTTTGAGACAAAGTGTCCCTGTATGGCCCAGGCTGACCTTAAACTTGTGATGCTCCTTCCTCAGTCTCCCAGCGTTGGGATTACAGGCACCTGTTACCACACTACCAGAGCCATCACCCCATTACTAGTCTTCTTGATACAACTTTTTTTTTCTTTTTTGTTTTTTGAGACTGGGGCTCACTATGTAATCTGGAACCTGCAAAGAGTTGCCTGTCTGCCTCCCAGGTTCTAGGATTCAAGTTATGTGCTGTGCTGCCTTACCCAACCCTCTGTAGAAACAGACATTATTACATTTGAGCCAAAAAGTGATTTATAAATGTCTGGTTCTGAATATGAAGTACTTTGGTAACACCTTAGCTGATTTGTTTTATTCATATTTTCCATTTTATGTATATAATAGGCAATATATGATAAAAATAAAATTTTCATGTCTAAAAGAATTCTTGAGTTTTGCTGTTGTTGTTTGTTTGTTTAACAGTATCTGACTTCCAGCTCTTAGAGATCCATTTACCATAGCATTGTGAGTGCTGAGGCTAAAGGTGTGTACATAGCTGAAAGGATATTTTTCAGTAAGCAGAAGAAAAGGGAGTTAAAAGAAAATATACCATAACTTTTGTGTTTGTTTGTTTGTGTGTTTTTGAGCAGAGGAAATGGGGCAGAGAGTAAAGCATGGGAAATGGAGTTTTTTTCCCAGAACCCACATAAAAAAGACTGGAGGTAGGTTTGGTAGCTGTCTTGTAATTCCAGTGCAGAAGGTACAGGCAGGGAATCCCTGGAACAAGCTGGAGCACTGAATTGAGCAGGATGCTTTGCCTGAGTGTGTAAGTGGAGAGGGACTGGGGGAAGACACCTGACCTCAGACCTCTTAGCACTCTCTGACACACACAGGGAAATCCACACAGATGAAACAACAAATTAAACTTTCCTTTTTTTTTTTTTTTCCCTGTTCTGTTGAAATGTAGAGCATTAATGAAATGACTGTTTTAAGTGAAATGAAATTAAGTGAATACCAGCGTGCCCAGCATGGTGGCATATGCCTTTAATCCCTGCACTTAGGAAGCAGAGGCAGGTGGATCTGAGTTTAAGGCCAGCCTGGTCTACATAGGGAATTTCAAGCCATCCAGAGCTACCTAATAAGACCCTGTCTCAAAAAAAAAAAAAAAAAAGCAGTGGGGGGTGGGGAGGGATAGTTGGCCAAAGCTATAGGTGACACTGTTGCCCCTCTGTTCCTCTTTAATGCCAGTTTGTATTATCCTTGCATGGATAAGCACTAGAGGGGTGTAGCAGCTGTTGGGCCTCCCATTTTCTCAGTCTGGCTTTTCTCTCATGCAGCTCTTTCCAATGGAAGTCTTGGGTATGTTTTTTATTACAGTAAGAAATTTTACATTTCTTCTCGGAAGACACATTTGAACAAATACTGTTGAAAATACAATTCAAAATTACTTCACAAGTGCTAGCCATAACTCAGAAAGCAGATATTATGAACCTCTGATGTTTTAATCTCCTTTGTAAGATGATGGATGTATGTATATGCATACATGTATCTTTGTACTCATGTGAGTAGATGAGCCATTGTAAGTTGTTAATTGGCTAGTCCTTGCTTTACTTCCATGGGAATTCAATATGAACCTGTTTTATTTTATAGGCTGGTGCATTGGATTTGCTGAAAGAACTTAAGAATATTCCCATGACTCTGGAATTATTACAGGTATGTGTTTCTGTGTGTCAGAATGTTTAAATTGGTAATTGCCATAAAATAATAGATCATCTTCATTACCAATAACATGCTTTTAATCTATCTTTTTATAGAATAGATCATTCTTTTTTTAAGATGACAACATAAATCAGTCAATTGTTATAAGTTATATATGTGTTCCTCAAAGAACTTTCCAAGGTTATGGGGTTGTGAGATCTCAACGTAAAGGCTGCCCCTGGATTCCTGGCCTTGGTTTGGTCTTTCAGCATTTCACTGTAGCTTAGTGTAGGGATGAGAGGGAATCACCACTCTTCTCCCTCTTTCAGCATCAGCCATACATGCAAACAACTGAATGTCAGCAGAATGAGTACTAAAGTCTAGGTGCTCAATCTAAAGTAAGAAAGTAAGTCAAAATGTTAAAAAGGGAAGTAAGTATGGTCAATAACATGAATGTAGACTTTTCCACTAGACATACCTTGTTGTTCATGAGCATTTTTCCTTGATATTTCTATTTCATTAAATCAGAATTCAAGAAAGAATTAGGTATGTGAACCTTACTGGGGAAAATTATCTTCAGGAGTGTCTAACTGAAACTGAGCATGTTTCTCATTATAATGATGATAAAACTACAATCATTTTGGTAACATTTATTGACTGTAAAAGAAATCACAAATATTTTAATTTCCATTAACCTATATTTTTTCAAATGTATTAAAATTCATTTGCTCATCCTGATGGTTGCTTATGTTGCTTATTCTGTTTTAATATTTTAATAAGGACATAAGTGTAATACTGTACTTAATGTATAGTTGCTTTTCTTTGCAGTCTTATGTGTTTTATTTAATGTGCTTTAAAGCACTTCTGAGGAAGATGTCTGTAAGTTTCACCAGATGGCCAGAACGATCTATAGTGGAAAACAGAACCAAATAAAAGAACTTTACATGCAGACTCAAGAAAGAGGAAGCTACCCATGAAGTTGAATTTCTGGGTTCTAGGATCAGCAGCCATTTCCTTTTGGATAGTACCTTACCTCCCACCTAGGTGTAACCCTTCCCAGCAGAGAGTAGTAGGCTTATGTGGGGAAAATACATTGAAAGCAATCTGAGTAATCCCAGCATGTCATTAAGAGATGTGTAGAGTTATAAAAGTGTGGAGGCTAGGTAGGGTTTGCATTTCTATCAATCTCTAATTTTTTTCTCTTCAGTCTAATTATATAACAGATCCTTGAATTTTTATTATGGCTAACAATTGTGAATGTCAATAAATTAAGATCTTTCTCCCTTGGAGCTCAAAGACTAGGAGAAGAAACTGTATTTAAAAGCAACAGCATTGGTAACTGGAAAGTTAAAGTCTAGAAGAAAGGGAAGTTTCTGTTTTTCAAAGTTTTATTATTTTATATGTATGGATGTTTTGCCTACACATGTGTCTATGCACTATGTATCAGAAGAGGGAGGGCTTCAGATCCATTGTAACTGTAATTAACAAATGGTTGGGAACCACCATCTGGATGCTGGGAATTGAACCTGGGTCCTCTTCAAAAGCTTAACCACCAACTATCTCTCCAGCCCCAGAAGTTAATTTCTTAGCGTGATCACTTAAGGTGGGAGCTCATAAAAGCCTTCACACAGGTGATCTCCAAAGATATTCAGGTTCTCTCACAGCAGAAATAGCATGCGGAAGCAGTGTGGCATATTGGGTAGTACAGGGCAAGGAAGAGCTAGAGGCAGGATGGCATAGAGCTTCATATACTCTTAAAAGCAGTACTGCCTGGAAGTGTTAGGAGATGATATAACTAGATCTGCACCTGAAAGACGGAAGACTGACTGACTAGTGAAGTTATTCATTTATACTCTAATAGGGGAGTAAACAGATATTAGCAGTAAAAATGGAGAGAAGAGGACTTGAGGGGATTATGGGCTGGGAAATGATTATTTCTCTATATAGCCCAAGGTGGCCTGGAACTCTCAATCTTACTGCCTCAGCCTCCCAAGTAGAATGCACCAACATGGACAGCTTCTGTCAATGTTTTCTTAAATATGATAACTAAGACACAAGCGACCATAGGTGTAAACAATTACATCAAAAGGTAAAAAAAATTTTTTTTTTTTTTTTTTTTTTTTTTTTTTGGTTTTTTGAGACAGGGTTTCTCTGTGTAGCTTTGTGCCTCTCCTGGAACTCACTTGGTAGCCCAGGCTGGCCTCGAACTCACAGAGATCTGCCTGGCTCTGCCTCCTGAGTGCTGGGATTAAAGGCGTGCGCCACCACCGCCCGGCAAAAGGTAAAATTTTTATGCTTAAAAAAAATCAGTAGGAAAATGAAAAGATAGACCGGGTTCCTGCCTATAACTCTCTCTCTCTCTCTCTCTCTCTCTCTCTCTCTCTCTCTCTCTCTCTCTCTCTCTCTCACACACACACACACACACACACACACACACACACACACACACACACAGAAAGTAAGTAAGTAAAAAGAGAGCCAGAATGTGGCTCATTGGTAGAATGGTAGAGTACTTTCTTGGTTATGTATAAGGCCCTGTATTCAATGCCTGGGGGATAATGGGAAATAATATTTTCAAATCTTACCTGATAAGGATTGCATTAAGAGCTACTACAAATCAGTAAGAAAGAAGCAATCCAGACTAAAAATGGAAAAGGGAAAGAAGACATTTCTCCAAATAAAATGGAGAAAAGATGCTGTAGTCAGGAGGTGGTACCAGGAGGGTTTCTCAGTTCAAGTTGAGCCTGGGGTACACAGGGATGACCCTGACTCAAAGAAAAGCAAAGAAGGAAAAGCCAACTAGCACATGAGAAGATGCTCAGCATCACAAGATCCTTAGACACATGGAAAGCCACACCACATTTAAATCATTACTCCATACTCCCTAGAATGCATATAACCAAGAGATCCTAATACCTGCTAGCAAGGATAGAGAAACTGGAGGCTGTTCTTACTACTACTAAGAATGCATGTTACATAGAATTACTATATAATGTATCAATTCTATTCCTAGGTATGTATACAAGAGCAATGAAAAACATGTATTCACACAAATCTGTGTGATAACATGTATAGAACATGATTCCTGACAGTCCAAAAGAAACCCAAATGTCCATTAACTAGCAACAATAAATGTGCTATTTACATACTAGTATTTGTATGTGTGTGTATTTGTCTATACAATGTAATATTATTCATCTGTAAGAAGGAAAAGGTTCTGATGTATTCTACAACATAGACAAATCTTGAAAACATGAAAGAAGCCAGACATATAAAGTCATATATTATGTGATTCTATTTCTAAGAACTCTCCAAAGTTGACAAATGTACAGACACATAAGGTATTGGTTGTATAGGGCAGATGGAGGGACCCTATAGGGGGAAATGAAGAATGACTTAAAAAGTAGACAGGATTTTTGTGGGATTTTTAGAGTAACAAAAATGTTCAGAAATTCATTATGGTTAAGGATAGGAAAATTCCTTGAATATACTAGGAACTACTTGTCTTGGAGTTTCTACTGCTGTGACAAACACAGTGATGAAAAACAACTTGGGAAGGAAAGGATTTATTTCAGCTTTCATTTCCTGATCGCAGTCCATCATGGAGGAAGCCAGGACAAAAACTCAAGGCAGAACCTGGAGGAAGGAACTGAAGCAGAGACCATGGAAAAATGCTGCTCATTGGCTTGTTCTTCATGACTTGCTGAATTCGCTCTTTTATATACTCCAGAATTACCGTCTCAAGAGTAGTATTGCTCACAGTGGGCTAGGCCCTTCCACACCAATCATCAGTGAAGAAAATGCCTCACAGACTTGCCTGCAGGCCAAGTTGATGGCATTTTCTCATTTGAGGTTCCCTATACTCTGGTGACTCTGGTTTTTGTTAAGCTGACAAATAAAATACAATAAGATAAGAACTCTAACCAACACACTACTAAAGTATATAAAGGAATAAATTATGTAGCATGTAAAGTGTTTTTTTTTTAAAGATTTATTTATTTATTATGTGTACAGCGTGTATGACTGCAGGCCAGAAGAGGGCACCAGATCTCATTATGGATGGTTGTGAGCCACCATATGGTTGCTGGGAATTGAACTCAGGACCTCTGAAAGAGCAGTCAGTGCTCTTAACCTCTGAGCCATCTCTCCAGCCCCCGTAAAGTGTATCTTAATAAAGCTGTTAAAAACTAGAAGAAAAGCTGGGCAGCAATGGCGCATGCCTTTAATCCCAGCACTCGGGAGGCAGAACCAGGCAGATTCCTATGAGTTCAAGGCCAGTCTGGTCTACAGATTGAGATCCAGGACAGGCACCAAAACTACACAGAGAAACCCTGTCTCAAAAAACAAAAAAAACAACAACAAAAACCACTAAAAGAAACAGAGCTAGAGATACAGCTCAGTGAGACTGCTTGCCTAGCTTAATGTAAGGTGTCTGGGGCTTGGTCCCTAGCATAGCAAAAGATTGTTAGATGGCTAACAAATATTGCTGTATTTACTACTATCTTTGGGTAAGTTTCATCCTAAATTCTTCCTTTCACCCTTCCCTACTTTGAGTCAGCTAACCATTCTTTTGGTTTTTCAAGTCAAGGTTTCTCTGTGTAGCCCTGGCTGTCCTAGAACTGTTATGTAGATCAGGAGGGCCTCTAACTCACACAGATCTGCCTTGCCTCTGCCTCCTGAGTGTTGGAATTAAAGGTGTGCATCACACTGCCCTCCATAATTCTTACAAACTGTCCATCATTATCAAATTCCTCTCCTCAGGCTGGTGTTGGAGCTTGGTGGTGGATCACTTGCTTAGCATATGCAAGTCCCTAGCCCCTGGTTTGATCCTTGGTTTAAAAATAAATAAATGAGGGCATGCTGGATAGGTGGCACATGCCTGTACTTTCACCACTTGGGAGGTGAGGCAAGTGGTATCATAAGTACAAGTCTAGCTTGGAATACCTGGTGAGACTCTATCTCAAGATTTAAATTAATAAAACAAAAGTATCTTTTGCCAGGTATTACGGCACATC